ACTCTTGTGATTCCTGCTCATCGAGCGGATGATCGAAGGTGATGGATGCTTCTTCGATTTTACATGAGCCTTCTTCAACGTTGAAGGGATATACAGATAGGATAGTGAATAATCCTTCTGGGGAGGAATGGAATATTTGATCGACAATTTCGTCCTCAGTTAAGTATTCTTCAGGGATGAGGCCTATAATTTGGTTTTGGAAACCAAATGTATAGTACTCAGCATCCAATGCTAGACCTAATAATGTTCCTTTTGGTAAAGTAACACTATTGGGTGTAACATTGTTGACCATGATATAGGTGGGATTCTTACCAATACTTACCATTGGTGTATGTGTTACCACCATCCCTAATTGTTGTATCCTGTTGGATAAACAGATTAGGGCATCAGAGTTTTCCAATCTCTGACCCTCCTTGACCTGTAGGGGTAAAAGAAAATTACTTGTCCCCTGTGGAATGGTTATGTCATCAGGAACTTGGATACTTACCGCATATGGGAGTATTTGTCCTGATTTCAAGGCGTTTTCCTCGTGAAGGTATCCACAAGAATTACCTTTTAACCTTGTCCACAAGTTGGAATTAATCAGGTCAAGGTGTATGGCAAAGCGATGTATGACATCATTGCCAACGTAAACCTGATAGCGAGGTTCGTCTATCACTAAGAATAGATGTTTAACTGTCTTATTTCCGATGGAAATAGATAGTAAACATTTTGCTATCACATTGTGACTCTCTGATTCGCCATCCAGATTCTGGATCCACCTGTCATGTGGGGAAGCGTACCTGATCATTTTAGGATTAGCGATCTGCTTTAACAGACTTCTGCTAATATAGCTGTTCTCACTCTGTAAGTCCAGCTTTGCATTCCTACTTCTTCCTAAATCATTTATTTGCATAGGAAAGAATAGGTTGTTATTAACCCTTTCAATTCTGGCAAGGAATTGAGCATGACCTGCCAGATCTACAGATTCAACATAGTCCCTGTGGAGAGAAATGGTTAAAACATCACCTTCCAGAGAGACATTCTGGATCCTCTCTGGAGCAATTCTTATGGAATGCTCATCTACAGGTGCGATTGCATCATTCACCTGCAGGATAGTCACGTCAGGTGACTGACTATTCCTAAAATGTACCTCTATCGAGTCAGGTCTTTCTTCTATCACATGGCAGTTACGATCAGATTGTACATGTGATTTCTCATAGGTTATGGGAACCTTAGCTTGTGACCATACAATTCCATTTACACAGTCAATAATTGTGTTAAGTCTTCTGAGTATGTCTATACCCAGAATCAGTCGGTCATAGGGGAGATCTACCACTATCACCGGGTGTCTAAAGGTTTTGTTACCTATTTTAAACTTTAACCAGGTATTGCCAATAACATGAAGGGCATTTCCTCCTACACTCAACAGAGCATTGGGGAAATCTCTTAGCTTCGGCTTATCCGTTGCTAAGTCCATTACCTGCTGGAAGTAGGTATTGGATAAGATAGTGGCTTGTGAACCAGTATCTATTAACCCTTTAAAAGGCTGGGGTAGCGAATCCTGTATTTCTACAGACATGTAGTACCTTCCTTCATGTTCTTCTAATTCACATAAGAATTTAGAATGTGTCAACATATTACTTGTTTTCCATACATTACCGGTCACAGCAGTAGTTTCTACCTGTACTGAGGAATGCTCAGTCTTACCCACAGGCCCATCCTTCTTAGGAATATCTTGAACTGTCAAGCGGGAACTAGTGGTCGGCATCTCATCAGTTAACCCTTTCAGGTCTGGATCCTGGAAACTTGTGGCTGCTGGGGCTATTTTAGCCTTTGGCTGAAATGAAAAAACAGAGGAACACGTTGCGCCTCCTTCACCCGGAAGTGAAGTGACGGTATAGGCAATAGGTTTTCTAACACAACTATTGTTTGTCTGACTATGAGTACCTGGAAAGGAAACAGGGTTAGGCATTACATCTACTGATAACCTAGCCTGTTTAGTCACAGTGGCTATTATTGCTGCGGCACCTGTTGTTGTTGCTGCGGTTGCACAGGTAGTTCTGCAATTGGAGCTATCCCTAAAAAAGGATTTCTGGCAAAGACTTCGTTAATCTTTGTCATTCCCTCCATTAATTTGCCCATCTGGTCTGTCAATTGACCAACCTGACGACGCAAATTATTTCCCCCATTGCCGTTTTGTCTTTGCCCATTAGAATTTGGTTGGGATGGCTGAGACTGTTGGGAGTTACTGGAAGCAGATTGGTTGTTTCTGTTTCCATATCTCCTATTTCCCTGAGGATTCCTTCTCCATTGGGAATTGCCTTGGTTCTTATTTACCCAGGAGCGTTTCTTCCCATTGGCATTGGATTTTTCAGAGTTACTATCAGAGGAATTTGCAGAATTGCTTCTGGCATTTTCCTGTTTCTGAGGTTTTGGAGTTTTCAAAACCTCGGAATAGGTCCTCTTTTTCTGTTGGGTTTCTAAACCTAACTGAGTTTTAGTCTCTGACACCATTTTATCACCAGGTTTCTTAACCTTTGGCTGATTTTCGTCATGTGCATGGTGTATAGTATACAATTTCATGCACTGACTGACTAGCCATTCTAATGGTAACTTACAATCGTAATCTCTTGCGAGATTCATTTGTATGTTTACTGGCATGGCATGAAAATACAGATCTTTGAAGTCTGTGCTTTCATACCTGGGTTTTCTTTGGGCCACGGAGTATGCATTTTTAAGAATTATTAAAAATTCTCTGGGGCTTTGATCTGGACGGCACTTTAATTATAAAGCGCCCTCTTTGCAGAGGCAATAGTTTTATACTTACCATATTCCATGATTATTTCATATTTCATTTTGGACCAGGACATTAACTGTATAGCTTGAAGACTTTCTAGATAAACACGGCACATTGAATCAAAGGTCCATGTAATGAACCATTTCTTATGAATGTCATCATACATACCCAATGAATTCATTGCTCTATCATAATTTTCCAGATGTTCAGATATGTTTCCTGAACCTCTAGAAAATTGTGGGACAGTCTCTCTAAGGAATTTGATGACCTTTGGTGTTTCATAAACAGGCGTCGTTGATTTACGACCTCTGTTTCTGTGTTTGGGTAAACGTCTATGCGATCTGTCTGCTGAAGAGGAATTAGACCCGTACAACAGTGCAGATGGCATATCAGTTACATGGCCTTCAGAGTGGACAGTGCAATCACTTTCACTCCCATCACTCTGAGCTTCTTGTTCACTGTCACAACTCTGATCTGCATCAGAATTCTGCCAGTGTACAGAACCATGTCTGTTTTCATTCCTATCACCTTGAATCGGATTCCTTCTGTCAAGCCTGGCCAGGACAGTCTTTTCAAACTGTTCTGCCCAAGATTGCCAAGAATCTACAGGTGTTTTCTCAGAATTACTCACATCTTTTCTTAGAGACTGTTTTATGAAAACCTGGTCTGGTGTGTGAATATCAGGAAATTGAAAAGAATCACTTGGGTCTTTTCCCAGTAATCCTTCACTTCCCTTTTGATATTCATCTAGCTGCATCTGTATCTGTTTTATCTGTTGATCATAATCATCCACCATTTTGTTCATTCTTTCCAGTTTATTCAAAAGGTCAGAGTTTAGAACCTGAAGGAGATTATTTTCATCAGACAAAGTTTTGAACCTTCCTTGTTCGAGCACCAGGTCTTTCTGACACTCGTCCAATTTACGTTCTATCTCATTATGCTTTTTTAACATAATAGAATAACCCAATATGAAAAACGGGCATGAGTTGGTAACAGATCGCATTGTAGACTCTTCATCTATATGGCTAAGATATTTAACCATAGGTGAATCAGCCGATCTATCATGAATCGAATCATCAACCTGTTTTTTTATTTGGAGTATCCACTCTGGATAATCAACTTTAATTTTTAGATACTGATATATGATGCTTAAGGGAAAACCTTGCATTTCCGCTAACTTCTTCCCATTCTCTGATTGAGATGAAGCGCTAGATTCAGCCATATTTCTATACAGTGATTTAATCTCAATACAAAACTCTTTTCTATATCAAGATTAAATTGCATGAATTACACCAATATTATTATTATATATGAAATACAATTTCAACTTAAACGATCTCAGCAGTGCCTCCAATATGTGGGGATATTTATGGGATAATAATAGTAACAGTGAGAATTGCCCACTAATTCAATTCTCAGATCCCAAAGAACGTTTATCGTGTTAAGTGGAATGTATTTCATATAAATAATCACAATGTATAAAAATAGATTTTTATTTATAATGACAATAATTAACAAATAATATTATGTAACATGCATGACAATAATCAATGAATATCCAGTACAAAATGATATGCAATACAAAGAAATGGGTATTACGTTTCAATGGCTATTAACTCATTATCTGTCAAGAATTCTGACGATTTATGACTATCTTTAACACGGACTTTTCACAGCTAAGAACAGAATTCCTCAGAGTGCAGCGTAAGGTCGTAAAGTTTAGCAGACAGTTAGAATAACCCTTTCAATGCTGGCTAGATCTCCTAGGTAGTTAAGATCTATTCTTATGTATTTTTAAATAAAATAACATTTAAACCAGTTTAAATTCATTTTCTTAAACCATCCATAAGAGAATTTACCACATTATATAAGCAGATTTTTAATTTGTCTAAAAGATATCTATCTTAATTTAGAGCAAATCAATACACCTGGATAAAAACAGCGGTATGCTAACACGTGATAATATCACATCAATATATAATTATTCTTAATTCCACCTGCAGAATGGAATGGTTATAACTATATATTCTTAGTTAACTAAGATTTCTTAATATGGAAATCTGACCGTGCTTTATCCAGTCATATATAATGCTATTAATACATTTTAATTAATTTAATTTAATTAAATGAAACCAGTATAGTTACCAGTTGAGTAGATATTTCATCCGATTGGTAGTCTCAGGAATTTATTTGGATGTGTCTCTGCATGGAGGTTGGAGTCCCCAAACTTCCAATTCCTCTCTTTTCTCTCCTTTGCATATCTTGCATCTGCCTCCTTCGTATCGTATCTCTCTATCTTCCCTTTGTCTTAACTTTTAAAGGGCCAGACTCTCTGTACGTCATCAGTTGATAACCCAATAGAAGCACTAGAGGTGTGGTTATCTTCCAGATCGCAAATTAGTTATTTGGTCTGTAGAGGGCAGTCTTGTCCCACTAAACATACCTATCCAGGAAAGAGTTAACTTTTCCTGGTGGCTATTTTGACGTCATTTTGCGTTATCTTTATAGCGCCATAATTTAAAATTTCAAAGGGTTTCTTAAATTTTGTCCAGACTTAGCGTCTGCAATTCCTGCCATAATTTCTGATATGACAGATCATGAACTAAGTTTACCCTTTTCCATACAATGGTACCTTATATATATAGACAGTTAAATATTAAATTATTTACTCTTCTCTGTCACAATTGTCTGGGTTTAGATTTGATTATATTCCATTAGCATTTTAGACAGTCTATCCAACCCCCTTCCTTATCACTTGTTTGTATATACTATGCATTCCTCAGATCTGGGAAAGTGGTTAGCTTACAGATAGAAATATAGTGTCTCTTTGTCTTTGTTAACTTGGAATAACAAAATGGAGTCTGGTCTGTTCAGAGTGACTCAGAATATACACTTTTAGTTTCTATCATAGCACAAAATGTCTGCCGATATAAATACCCTGACAAGAGTTATGTGCACACAGTCCCACATTCAGATGCACACAGTTATACATATACACTGTCATATCCACCACATGCACATAGTCACAGGCAGTCAGTCACATACACAGGATCAGGCAGAAACACACAGGCACAGGCAGTAACACACATACACAGTTACAGGTAGATAAACACACTCACACACAATTACAGGCAGACAGCCACACACACACAGCCACACATACAGTCTTACACACACATACTTACATGCAGACAGTCACACACACACACACACACACAGACAGCTGCGCACACACACACACATACACACAGGCAAACAGCCACAAACAGAGGCAAACACACACAGGAAGACATCCACACACACAGAGGCAGGCAGTCACACACACACAGGCAGACAGCCACACACAAATGCAGACAGCCACACAAACACACACAGGCACATAGCCACACACACACAGGCAGTGCAGCTCCTGGAGACCGTTTGTTGGGTAAGCAGGGACTCCTTCTTGCTTCCCCTGCAGCAGTTATCCGGCACTTTTAGCTGCGCCCCAGCCTTACAGGAAGCTCGCACACCCCTAAGGCCGGCCCTGATACTGGAGCTCAGTATCTCAATGTGTTGGGTTCCATGAGAGAAGTCACTAAGAAGATCCTGACTTCAAGTCACTAATCTACAGTAAAAAAATGTGTTACAAATGCAACTTAGCCACACATTTGCAAACAAGCAGTCACAGTTCTACTTTTCGGAGAGGCTTTTATGAAGGAGCTCAATAAACACGTGAATGTGTTCACGTCCCTAAACAAGGCTTGTACCTCTATGAGAAAGGTATTCAGAGGCAACCCCTCCAGGGGTGTTTTTTCCAGGGCTGGTCGGCAAAGGGGCCGTGCCACCAGCCGCTTCTGGCCATCAGGCCCCCGCACTGGACCTCCACAACAGTTCTACCCGCAACTGTCCTATCCGAACTCGGGAGCAAGTGGTGGTGGTCCACCTCAGGACACGAGGAATCAGCTGTATCATCTATTTAGACGATATACTCATATTCTGCAACACAAGCGAAAAGGCTTCACACCATACCGAATACACGATTCAACTGATAGAATCTTTGGGATTTATTGTCAACAGGGACAAATCCGCACTGAACCCCACGCGCACAATTCAATTCCTGGGCTTCGACATAGACTCCAGATCCTGCACTCTCCACCTGCCGAAGACCAAAGTAGCGGCCATCAGAGAAGAGATACGCAACGTCCTCAAACTCAAATCCATTCCCCTCCGACAACTAGCACGGATCGTGGGTCTTCTATCCTCCTCCATCCAGGCCATATTTCCAGGACCACTACACTATCGGACCATGCAAAGGTTGAAAGCCTGCTTCCTCAGACAGAACCCCACATACAACCAACCAGTTCCCCTGACGGACGAGGTACGCCAGGAACTCGAGTGTTGGCTCAACTGCATGCAAGCATGGAATGGTCGAGCCATCTTCGGCAGTCACCCGGACTTCATTCTAGAATCGGATGCGAGCCGATGGAGATGGGGAGCCACAGATGGATCAACATCCACAGGGGGGATCTGGACAAATCAGGAACTCACCATGCACATCAACTGTCTGGAGCTATTAGCCGGATCCTTCGCCATTCGAAGCCTGGCAAAAGGGCAATCCAATTGCTGCATCCTACTGCGGATGGACAACTTTTCCACAGTACGTTACATCAACCACTTGGGAGGGACTCGCTCCCAAACACTAGCCAATTTGACGAAAGAGATCTTCGACTATTGCCTCCCGCGCAACATCTCGATCAAGGCCGAACATCTACCAGGGGAATCGAACTTCACGAACTTCACGGACTGGTACTCACGACACTGGAGGGACGCCAGCGATTGGCAATTGAGCACACAGATATTCGCTTACTTGAACGAACAGAGAGGACCATTCACCCTCGAGCTCTTCGCGTCACGCAGCAACCGTCAACTACCAAGATTTTACAGCTGGCTCCCGGACCCGGAGTGCGTAGCCGTGGATGCGTTCACCCAACATTGGCCCAGACAGGGGGCGTACGCCTTCCCTCCATTAGCAATGATTGTGAGAGTACTTCATCACATTCGACAACGAGAAGTGACGCTAACACTACTGACACCATTATGGCAGAGCCAACCCAGGTTCCCCGACCTGCTCGAATTATCGTGCGACGATCCACTCCTCCTACTGAGCGACCCATACCTACTCAGGGATCCACTGGGCAACCCACACCCAATGCTTCTGGACAACCGACTAACTCTGGTAGCCTAGACTCTTTCAGGGGCACATGGGACACCCACGAATTATCGGCTACAACTAGGGACCTCCTGTGGGATTCATGGGCCCCGGGAACTAGAAGAAGTTACCTATCAGCATGGAGAACTTGGTCCAATTGGTGCGTGGGATGGAGTTTGGATCCCTTTATGGCTCCTGTGCCCGAGATAATGAATTTCCTCTCTTCCATCTTCGCAGAAGGTAAATCGTATCGCACCATCAACGTCATCAGATCGGTTATATCTGCAGCCCACGTTCCATCCCAAGGGAGAGCAATCAGACAAGATCCTCTGATTTGCCGACTACTACGGGGGATTAAAATAAGACGCCCCCCGACATCAAAATATCAGCATCTCTGGGATGTGGAAATGGTACTTAGATTCCTGAAGGAATGGCCCTCAAATGAACATCTGCCCTTGAAGCAACTGACAGCGAAATTCACCTTCCTACTGAGCTTGGTCACAGTGTCTCAGATGTTCGGGCGTTTGATTCGGATGCCTTTACTATTGGCCCGGAAGCGGTTACATTCCAAATCTCTTGGAGAACCAAGACCGATTCAACATCAATTTTTTCCCCTTCTTTACATCGGAACCTCAACTATGTGTTGTTATGGCATTGAGAGCATATATGGAGGCAACGGAGACGCTACGTCGACCAAACTCCCGACAACTACTGATATCATACGTTAAACCTCATGGTCCAGTCTCGACCACCACAATATCCAGATGGATTAGATGGATCCTCACCCTTGCGGGGGTGGAACCGTCCTTCGGAGCTCACTCCGTAAGGGGAGCCTCTGCGTCATCAGCCTTTTTGGCAGGCGCACCATTGGCGGATATCCTCCAAGCAGCAGACTGGTCTCGCGAATCAACATTCCGGACATTTTACTTCCGACAATCTTCTTGGAGAGGCCTGGCTGCCCGCCTCCTACCTGCTGACTATGGCCCCTGGTAAATTTGTACTTTTAATGCAATATTTGGGCATGTGATATTTTATATTGCTGCTACTGGCCCTTTAAGGGCCATCCGGGGACATATTATGACTTTTAGGAACAATACCCCTTTAAGACTTGGTAGCAGATTACAGTAAGGATGTCTTTTATATTATGTATGTTTCTGTGTGTTCGGCTAAATTGTATATGTGTATGCAGCATTCCCCTGATTGTTCGGTAGAATCACTCCATTCATTATATTGAGTGAAACTACCGAACAACCAGACCACCCAGGAAGAAGTGTGCCTCCAATTACCGTTTGCAACAATGTTGCAAATGGGTAATTGGCAATCAATGTAATGTGTGGTTTTGTCCTCTGGGTGGCCGCCATTCGGGAAACGAACACATGGCGGCGGCCATCTTAAACTCCCGAACAGCGGTGTTTTGCCGTCGAGTGTCTGGAACTAAAATCGGACACTCGACTAGGCAAACACCGCTGAGACCTCCAGACTTCCATGAATTCGTGTGGAAACTACCAAATGACCTGCCGTTCGGTAGAAAGAACCCCACGAACAAGGGAATTCGTTTAAACCCTCCCCAGGCTCTATAACCCAGGCAATTCGTGTGTTTTCATTCCCTTTTCTGTGACCGACTGCAGGGCCAAAATACATGCAACTATTTTCGGATACTTTTGCCATGCAGTCGGTCAAAACTTTAACCCTCCATAATTCCCGAACCCCTGGTCCGATCTGGGTGATTTTTGGATATGTGTCTCACCCAGATCAGGGCTACCAGGGGATGTAACATTTAAAGGGGTAACCCTATGTTTAGGGGTACATCCAGTAACCCAGGGAATTTGTGTCTGTGCTAATGGGATTATGTGTCACACTAAGGGGAGGAGATGTGTGGGAGGTAACTGGTACATTATTGGCTGGGGTACTAATTGTTGTGGATCCCTCCCTTGCATGGGAGAATGTCTTAAAAGGAGGTTGTGTGAATAAATCTGGAGTTCCTGCTTAACCCTCAAAGTGAAGTGTCGTCTCATTATTGGGGAAGGATTTATTATATGCTGTTCCAGTTTGACTGCTACGAGTCTAAACCCATCCGTATGTTTTTTTTGCCTATTCAGCTGTTTATAGCATTCATATGCTTGAGAGAAGGTATACGCTTCTCCGGTTTGGTGATTGTGGTGTCTGCCAGAGTGCTTGGAGTCCTCAGGAAACGCTAGGAGCATCATCAACGGAGGTACCCAGTTGGGGTGCCAGGTGATCCGTTACAGAAAGTTTATGCAAAATATTCGCCTCCTGTCATTATTAAAATTAAG